GCGCCGACGGTGGAGCTGTAACTACGTCAGGGACCAGTACATGGTCATTTACAGGCCCCCACTGGGTGAACGTGGTGCCGTCACAGCCGCACCAGCAACTTGGACAGGTCACGCCGCTTTTGCCTCCACGTTTGCACTCTTTTGGTCCACAAAAGATGTCCGCCTCTACCACCTCTTCTTCCTTCGTGTCCTCAGCCGCCACCCCCGTGCCAAGTCCCATTACCCGACCGACATATCACATGTGCAGGGCGCAACGGTGTCACGCTGTGCTGCACCTGGTATGCCTTGGCGAACGTAGTCACACAGGGGAGGAACTTCTCAGTGTAATGAACAGAGAAATCGACAGATGGCTGTCTCCGCGCAAACTGAAAATCGGAACCATGTTGACCGACAACGGAAAGAACATGGTGTCTGCTCTGCGTCAAGGAAGGTTGTGCCATGCGCCATGCATGGCTCACGTGTTCAATCTGGTTGTCAAGCGGTTCCTAAAATCCACCATCCCACTGCAAGACATCCTTAAAATGTCACGTAAACTTTGCATGCATTTCAGCCATTCCTACACCGCAAAGCACACCCTCCTTGAGCTGCAGCGGCAGAACGGAATTCCACAGCATCGCCTGATCTGGACGTTGCAACAAGGTGGAATTCAACCCTACACATGTTAGACCGCCTTTACGAACAGCGAAAGGCCATCACCGATTTCCTGATGTTACAAGCGGATAAAGGTACTCCCCCTGTGTAACTTCGATGTCAGCCATTGGCAGCTCATGCGTGACACCTGCCGCTTGCTCAGGCCCTTTGAGGAGGCCACGCTATTCGTGAGTCGGCAGGACTATGGGATGAACGACGTCATTCCTCTGTTGCACGTCCTGGAACAAATGCTGTTAACAATGGCTGGTCAGGGTGCGGTAGACGTGGGCGCACAGATCTCAACGCCACATGACCCCTGTGGGGGCAGGACAGGAAGAAGAGGAGGAGGTAGAGGAGGACATTTGTGCTCAGGAATTATTGAGTGAAATGGTGGTTTTTCCACTCAGCGGACAGGAGTGGAGGAGCAGGAGCATCTGGTAGAGGGAGGAGGAGACAGAGGACCCAGACGCACCGTGGCAGTATGCTGTGGAGATGGAGGCAGGGAGTCCCTCGCATTCCTTGGCACAAATGGCCCATAGCATGCTCGCTTTGCTTGCGTAGCGACAGCCGAATAATAACCATCAGACAGAGGGATGACTTTTGGCTGTCCACCTTGTTGGACCCTCGCTACCGTTCAAAAATGGTGGCCTTTTTCACACCTGCTGAGAGGGAGGCCAAAATAACGTACTATAAAAACCACCTATGTAATCAGTTGGTCTCTGCCTTTGTGCGCCAACGTCCATCCTCAGACACTGTGGGCCCTGTGCGCTCGCGTTCCGCTGCCATGGCAGCAGGGGAGGGGTGGGGTGGTAGGAGCAGTGGCAGCTCCACCAGCAGCGGCTGCCTCAGTCTGCAGTCGATGATGAGTAGCTTTCTTCACCAGCGCAGTGAGGAAACTACTAACCAGCCGCAGCAGCAGCAGCAGCAGGGTGGACCTGGAGCAGGACCTCAAACAACAGGCTTGGGCCTACTTGGACAGCACCCTGCCAACCGAGGTAGACAATCCCCTTGACTACTGGGCAACGAAACTTGACCTTTGGCCCCAACTAGCTGAATTTGCCCTTGAAAGGCTGTCATGCCCGGCCAGTAGCGTGGCATCGGAGCGCGTGTTTAGTGCGGCAGGAGGTATTGTAACTCCGCGGAGGACACGACTGTCCACCCAAAGTGTGGAGAGACTCACGTTTGTGAAAATGAATCAGGCGTGGATTAGTCTGGATTTCAAACCACCAGTTCCTGACACAACTGACTAAATCCGCCATGAATCATGCCCCAAACATGTGCCACTTTCAGGTCTCCTCACACTGCTGTGTGTTCCATTTTTTGTCATAGGGTGCTGGCAGATTACGGGCCTCCCATAGCTGCTGCCAGGCCCCTAATCTGCCATGGGCCCCTGTACCGCCTCTTCATGCTGCTGCCAGGTCCAGAGTGTCTCATGGGTCCCTGTACGGCCTCCCATTGCTGCTGTCTCCATCGCCACACTCTGTCATGTGCCACTTTCAGGTCTCCTCACACACTGCTGCTGTGTTCCATTTTTTGTCATAGGGTGCTGGCAGATTACGGGCCTCCCATTGCTGCTGCCAGGCCCCTAATCTGCCATGGGCCCCTGTACCGCCTCCTCATGCTGCTTCCAGGTCCAGAGTGTGTCATGGGTCCCTGTACGGCCTCCCATTGCTGCTGCCAGGAGGCAGCAGGGTCGCAGCAGTGTCAGTGGAGGCAAACGGCCATGGAGTTGAGCACCAGCTCCACTGCAGCCTACCACCACGGCCAGTAGTGGTGCCGGTGTGCACGGAGGAAGTAGCAGTCAGCCAGTGAGGAGTAGCGGGGGCAAAGTTTCCTACTCGGCGGTGTGCCAATTTTTCGTCAAGCCGCCCGAGGAAGTAAACGTAGCCGTATGTCGACTATGTGCCAGAAAGTCAAGCGTGGCCAGGGGGCCCATGTTGGGACTACAGCGTTGCGTCAGCATATGCAGCGTCGCCATTCGGTGGCCTGGGAAAACCGTGATAAAGATACGGCGGTTCTGCCTGCCCCAGCCCAGGGTTCCATTTTGTCATAGGGTGCTGGCAGATTACGGGCCTCCCATTGCTGCTGCCAGGCCTTAATCTGCCATGGGCCCCTGTACCGCCTCCTCATGCTACTGCCAGGTCCACAGTGTCTCATGGGTCCCTGAACCGCCTCCCATTGCTGCTGTCTCCTATCGCCACACTCTGCCATGTGCCACTTTCAGGTCTCCTCACACTGCTGGTGTGTTCCATTTTTTGTCATAGGGTGCTGGCAGATTACGGGCCTCCCATTGCTGCTGCCAGGCCCCTAATCTGCCATGGGCCCCAGTACCACCTCCTCATGCTGCTGCCAGGTCCACAGTCTCTCATGGGTCCCTGTACGGCCTCCCATTGCTGCTGTCTCCATCGCCACACTCTGCCATGTGCCACTTTCAGGTCTCCTCACACACTGCTGGTGTGTTCCATTTTTTGTCATAGGGTGCTGGCAGATTACGGGCCTCCCATTGCTGCTGCCAGGCCCGTAATCTGCCATGGGCCCCAGTACCCGCCTCCTCATGCTGCTGCCAGGTCCAGAGTCTCTCATGGGTCCCTGTACGGCCTCCCATTGCTGCTGTCTCCATCGCCACACTCTGCCATGTGCCACTTTCAGGTCTCCTCACACACACTGCTGGTGTGTTCCATTTTTTTTGTCATAGGGTGCTGGCAGATTACGGGCCTCCCATTGCTGCTGCCAGGCCCGTAATCTGCCATGGGCCCCCGTACCGACTCCTCATGCTGCTGCCAGGCCCGTAATCTGTCATGGGCCCCTGTTGTCGCTTGTTGGCATATTCCGCTCGTTCAGATGCTCCTTCTCCTGCTACTCCTCTTCACGGATTCCGTCAGCAGTCTTTCTTGGAATCCGTTTCCAAGAGACAACAGTTTGCGAGCACGCACCCGACGGTGCAGAAGCTGAACGTCCTCCTGTCCAAGTTGCTGCTGCCAGGCTCGTAATCTGTCATGCGCCCCTGTACCACCTCCTCATGCTGCTGCCAGGTCCAGAGTGTGTCATGGACCCCCGTACCGACTCCTCATGCTGCTGCCAGGCCTTAATCTGTCATGGGCCCCTGTACCGCCTCCTCATGCTGCTGCCATTTCTAGAGTGTGTCATGGGTCCCTGTACGGCCTCCCATTGCTGCTGCCAGGCCCGTAATCTGCCATGGGCCCCCGTACCAACTCCTCATGCTGCTGCCAGGCCCGTAATCTGTCATGGGCCCCTGTACCGCCTCCTCATGCTGCTGCCAGGTCCAGAGTCTCTCATGGGTCCCTGTACGGCCTCCCATTGCTGCTGTCTCCATCGCCACACTCTGCCATGTGCCACTTTCAGGTCTCCTCACACTGCTGGTGGGTTTCCATTTTTGTCATAGGGTGCTGTATGGCCTCCCATTGCTGCTGCCTCCACCGCCACACTGTGGCTCCACACTCTGGTTTTGGCCCCGTGTCTGCCCAAATGAGTGAAGTGTGCGGTGATTCTAAGATCGACGGCACTCATCTGCATGTCATACTGACTGACAGTATTATTTCTCTTCCCCAGCAGACTCCAAGGGCATTTAAATTAAAGGTACAGTGTTCTGCACTAATATAAAGGCTCTCTGAAGCCTAGAAACACCCTTTTATAAGTTAAATTCGCAGCGAATATATTCGACTCGAATCGAAATTTTTTCACGAATTCGCCGAATCATTCGAATCGAATTTTTGAATAATTCGCTCATCTCTAGTACTGGTACATCCAGCTGCATCAGCGCTGCTCCCATCTGGCCATTTATCTGTATGTGCTGTATATCTGTATGACCTGGACAGGAAGTGGTTAATCAGCAAAAGATTGTAAAATAAGTGACATGGGTGGCTGGTCAATGTCCTGAGGTCCACGAAGCAAAGCAAAAAAAATCTTAAAATTCAGTTCAACAGGAAGCAGCAATTTAGTTTAATTTAATTTAATTAAAAAAAAAATTTAATAACATATTTGGTAGATGATCTTAATCTGCTTGTAAAGTGGCAAATCTGTATGATGTAAAACACCTACTGAAGAAAACCTGACATTTACAAAGAAATAAAAAAAATGCTGTTTAAATAGTTGGAAATGACAGTTTTAACCTTCTTTCATCTCTCTGTAAGCAAACAGCCAGGGATTCCCTTTATTTACACCAGGTGAAACAGGAAGGCAGTTCTAAGTGCAGTATTCCAGGTCAACTTTAATAAAAAGCGTTTAAAAACACTTACAATGTAGTCGTACAAACAAGCTCTAATGTAACCTGTGAGTAGCAGAGCTCTGTTCTCTGAGCAATGGAGCCACTGTGCCAGCCAGCAGCTGCAGGGGGAGCTTGAGGAGAGGTGTTAAAAATGGCCACTGCTCTGTTTGGACTGCTGGAGCACACGCTGGAACTCACGCTATCCACGGACTGGAAGTGACATGAGCATGGACCCTTGTCTTGAAGAAGATCTGTGGACAGCGTGCGTTCCAGCGTGTGCTCCAGAGGTCTGAACAGAGTGGTGGCCATTTTTAACACCTCTCCACAAGCTCCCCCTGCAGCTGCTGGCTGGCACAGTGGCTCCATCGCTCAGAGGACCGAGCCCTGCTATTGACGGATTACATTAGAGCCTGTTTGTCCTACTACATTGTAAGTGTTTTTAACTGCTTTTTATTAAAATTGACCTGGAATACTGCACTTAGAAGCACCTTCCTGTTTCACCTTCTTCTGCACAGAGTTTGTCTCCACTCTTTAGAAGTGCTGCTCAGTACTGGTTTCCCTACACACCCATCCATCATCACCTGCCATACTTCCACAACATCATTCACCGATGCGCCCTACTACCCACCTTTATCTATACCAGACTTTTTATCCTAGATGAGATTCTGATAAAGATAGTAATTGGGCTACCTGTAAAAAAAAAAATACCTGTAAAAGATGTTAATTGGGGTCTCCAAGCAAAAAAAGTGAGGAGTGCCCCCTAAAAATATATATCAGACCCTTGTCCCTGATGAAGGTCTGGTATGTATATCAAGAAGAACTCAATGCAAAAAAAAAAATCCCCCATTCCCCCAGATTCCACCCTTGTCAATGCATGAAGCCTGGCAGGCCAGGAAAGGGGAGCAAGTGTCTCTTGAGCCATACCAAACTATATGTTTACTGTACATACATAGAATCCTTACTCATTCACAATAAAGTAAAAGTAAATAAACACACATTTTTGTCAAGTCCTTTAACAAAAAAACAGTCCCACAATGTAAATCGACTGTCAATCACATTATCCAGTGATGCAGATCCATGTGAATCATGATGAACAATGTCCACCAAGGGTAACAAAACCCACTGACCAACAACTCATCCAATGCCATGTCTTCACTGAATTACATGTATTGGTCCCCGAAGCAAAAGTAAACAAAAGGGTAGAGTCTCCTTGGTCTTACAATTAACCAAATATATTCATGACTATATTTGGTCAGCGATGTTACAAAGATACACATGCTTCCACATGATCCAGGCTGCATACTCAGATCATAAAAGGGGGCCCCATTATTTTCCTATTTTATATGGGGATCCCCCTAAGCTCTGATATGGAACTGGGGTGGGTGGGGGGGGGGGGGGGGGGGAATCCCACAGCTTTTTTGTATGGGATCCCTCCTAAAATCTATATCTGAAATGTATGAATATAGAAGACCCTTTGTTTCCATTCAGCTATCAGCCAGGAATCCTGGTCAGAAATGAGTCATGGTTGTAAGGGTTTACTGACAAACAGTTTGATGGGAAGAGATCATATTTAGCAATGGTAGTAATATCACTGCTACTGCTTCGCTGCTGTTGGTCAAAGTAATTTTGCTGAACACCAATTTAGTTTGGCCATTTACCAAACCTCTAAATAAGCAAAATTCTGTCCAAACCTAGGTCTGAATTGAACTGATCACTCATCCCTAATATTGATAATATGCCATTGCTACAGTATATGCAATGCACAGCAATAAGTACACACACCACATGATTAGGACTATCAGCAAAATAAAGGTGAGCCTGTTATAGGTGATCCTATAACTCTGTTTCACATGATTTGATTTTCTCTTCTTTGCCTGTATGCATACTTATTTCCTGGCCCTTTTTGTGCTGGTATGATAAAGTAATGTATTTTGTGTTTATAAAGTACATTTTGTGTTTCCCATAATGTGTACAGTCCTTTCATATACACTGTAGCTCATTATTCAGTGCCCTCAAGAACTTGGAATGTCAGGAAAAAAGGAGCTTGTTGTCTTCTTTTAAAACTTGCTCATTGCTTGCCAGCAATCATTTTCCTTGTATATCTACAAAGCAAGTACATATTCATGCTGGGCTCCAAGAAGACTGGTATCACCTTTCTTAGACTGGAACTATAGGTGAAATAAATAAATTACGTATGTGATGCAGTCTTTCACTAGCATTAACACTAAACAGGGTGCTAGCAATGGTCAGTTTTTTAATATAAATATAGAAAATCTTATCGCAAAAGTAAAAAATAACCTGTTGCTATAACTGTTTAAAAAGTGCTTGCTGGTGAGCCGTTAATTTGTTAGTTGCTTATGTAAAGTCCATCTAAATCTGCTATTCTGTCTAACACTACCCTCTCAACAGATTGATAGTGCTGTCCAAAGGTATCTGTACTGTTCTACCAGTGGAGAAGTGAGTGTAGCCACCTTAAGGTAGGAGGTGTTTTACCGTTTGGATCATACGGTGAAAGGACTTAAAAAAGAAAACTATTGCAAATACCAAATATCAGGACTAAGCTGCAATATTTAAAATGTTTTCTTTTCGGGTTTGATACATCTTAACCAATTCAATACCGGGCAATTTTAGACCTTCCTGCCCAGGCCAGTTTTCACGTTTCAGCGCTCTCACATTTTGAATGACAATTGCGCGGTCATACAACATTGTACCCAAACTAAAATGTTATCATTTTCTTCACACAACTAGAGCTTTTTTTTGGTGGTATTTTAATCCCCACTGGGGTTTTTATTTTTTGCTAAATTAACAAAAAAAGACCAAAAAGTTTGAAAAAAAAAGTTTTTCTTTGTTTCTGTTATAAAAGTTTGCAAATAAATAATTGTTCTTCATAAATTTAGGCCGAGATGTATTCTGCTACATGTCTTTGGTGAAAATAACCCAAATTAGAATGTATTTTTTAGTTTGTAGGAACTTATAGAGTTCACAAACTATGGGATATATCTGAAAATTGATCAATCCTGAAGTACTGACGGCCAATCTAATTTCTTGAGGTCCAAGAATGTCAAAACAGTACAGATATCCCTCAAATGACCCCTTTTTGCAAAGTAGACAGTCCGACGTACTTCATAAGAGGCATGGCGAGTTTTTTGAAGTTGTATTTTTTTTGGGATAATTTTTCGGAAAATTAAAAAATTAAAAAAATTAGTTTCACAATTTTTTTTTTTACATATTGTCACCAATGCAGTACAGTGTCATCATATAACTGGCATGGAGGTGATCAGGGACACTGACTGGTGACAGTATGAAAAAAAAAAAATATATATATATATATATATTTTTTTTTTTTATTATTTTTAATTTTTTATTACATTTTTTTTTCTTATTTTTAAGATTTTTTTTCATATTTCACTATGTCCAAAGTAGTACAATGTTACCATAGTAACATTGTACTACTTTGGAAAAGTGATCAGTAATTTTTTTTTTTACACAATTTGCTTATAGCAAAGAATTACTTTGCTATAAGCAAGCATTTACCTGAATGACATTGATTCATTCAGGGTTTTTTTTTTTTTTTTTTTTGTGCTTAGCTGTGATTTGGCCACAGCTAATCACATGACATGTGCATGTGATTAGCTGTGACCATTCACAGCTAGGCAGTAGTATACAATGGATGGCATGAATGAAGCCATCCATTGTATACAACTGTCATGTGACCTGCTGTGATTGGTCAAAGCAGGTCACATGGTACCGGCAACGGGTCCGATACTCAGATCTGTCATCGGCCGTGTCCGAGGTACAGGGCCGGCGACAGATTGCGCCGCTGCGCCTCTCTGTAGGAGCACAATCTGCGCATGTGCGGAGGACGCCATGTGGCGTTCACCCGGAACGCTGATGACATTTTCCACCCGCCATTCTGCCATAGGGCGGGCGGCAAATGGTTAAAGCTGAATTATGTAAAAAAAATATTTTAGATACTGTACTAGCTAAGTAAGTTAACCCTAAATATATGCGTAAAAGTTGTGCAGCGCTATATATCACACGATAAAATATTCAATAAAATGCAGATAGTACTGTTGAAAGTCCAAAAAGGAAAGATAATATATAGTAAGAGATATATATATAAATATATATATATTAATTATAAATTGCGACCCAAGGAGACACTGTTAATCCTGACATGATGTTATTCAACAGTCCATGTGAGCTGCAAGCAAATAGTTAAAATGCGCTCTCACCAGATATGCATAGATAATGCGCAGTATATAAATCAATGAAGATCAGCCCAGAATCTCTCTTAAGGGTGGTGCTGGAGATAACA